CAACCAACAGTTCTAATGAGGAGGGGTTCTTGTAAATCACATAGAAGGAAAGTAAAAAATGTCCCCCCCCCCCATTCAGCCCCGTTGTCAACATACCCTGCCTTTGGTGTATCTTCATCGTAAAATATTCCTGTTTCTCCAGCCCGTCGTCTTCTTTCGCAGAGGTCACTTAAATTAGCAGACTTCACTCCCCTTCTTCACTTGAAATATGTGCATTTGCTTCTTTTGTAATTAATTATTCCAAATTGCTGCAAGTAGTGTGCGATCAGAGACAGCGTCCAGGAGAGCCAATGTCCACACGGGGGCATTCTGCCTAGGGCCCTCACCCCCTTCTTTCGAATTAGGGGGTGATTTATGGGCACAGCAGGCAAGGGCAGTGTTCCCCATTTCCTTGGGGCAACAAGGGAGGCTGCCTACTCCCATAACAGCCTCTTAATTACCCCGTGTGGGTCGGAGAGATGGTATTGTCAGCCATCTTCCAATGCGCCCCCTAGTGGCCCCCCTGCTCTCTGGCTCTCATGGCAGAGGCCCTGGTCCAGTCACCACCATGGCACCAGAGAACCAGAGGTAAGGCAGCAGGCAGCAGCAGTGCTGGCATACAGAGGCTGGGCACCTCCAGTGAAATTTTTGTGGGTGCCCAGGCACCCAGGGCCCCCTGAAGCTGGCATCAGTGTTCCCATGGAATGAAGTTATCAGGGCTTTGAGCACTCACCTCAGAACAAATTAGCGTACTTTTCCGTGTATAAGACTAGGGTTTTTTTTTACTCAAAAATAAGGTTTAAAAACTGGGGCCGTCTTATACATGGGTAGTGGGTAGTGGTGACGGGTGATTGGTTGCAGCCAAGAGCTGCAGATTGTCATTGGGGATTTGTAGTGTGATGGGTGGCTGTGGCAAGGGTTTCTTTGTATTGGCTGTGGGAAATGGGTGTGTGATTGGTTGCTGCCTCAAGGGCTGCTGAGGATTGGCTGCCACTGCAGCAATTGTGCTTGCTATTAACTTCCGGCGATTGGGCAGACGCTTGTAGCAGGCGCGAGTGATTTTTAGCGAGCGGTGCGAGTGGTTGCAATCGTCGGGTTAGTGATTTACTTCATCACCCCCCCACCAAAAGCGCAACAATTCTGGGCAATCCTCCCCCCCAAAAGCTCAACAACTTTGGGCCATTTTCTGAAATTGGAGTCCCCCAAAGTAGGGGGCATGGTATACATGGGGGCATGTTATACATGGAAAAGTACAGGACATGTATTCTTATTTTCTATAATGCTTTTATTTATTTTCATGGTGTAGAAGATAGCTTTCGAGAAAACAATTGTTACAACAATATTCTTATTCCTCTTTGCCCACCCTTCCCAGGGTGCGTTACAAAAATGAAAACGCCTTAAAAACAGTTTAAAACAACTTGCAGTCACCATGGCACCAGCTTCTCATCTGTGTTTTATTATTATTATTATTTTCATTTCGCATCCAGTTTCCCTCATGCCCTAAAAGAATAAAAGAAAAAGAAAAAATCTGATCCAGGCCTACCACCCGATTAGATCAGCCTGTGACATTATTATTGGGAAGTGTTGAAAACTCATCTCTGTTACCGAATGTAAATCTCCTCTGGAAAAACAGCTTCCCCTTGAAAAATATATTGTTTGATTTGCAACGTGATGTTTATGGTTGCCTTTTCACATTATCGTTTTGGCGATGTGGAGCGATGATGCATATGCGGGCTTTCCAGGCGCCGAGAAAATTAGTGCTTTGGAAAGATTCATCTTTCTCCCTCCCACCATCTACCCCGTCCTTGTTATTGATGTCCTGTCAGTAACCATGCTCTAATATTCTTTCCAGAGAAGCTAATGACACCAGCAGAATACACTGAACTGCTGTTTCCTTCAAGCTGTCTAGATAAAAGACAGCACTGTTGGATGTGGAAAAACGATCATCTGGTGACTGGGGGAAAAAAAAGACGACTGACTTTTTCTCCTCATGGATGTCGTGTGCATGTTAAGATAATCTGGGGTGGGCGTCAATGAGAATGGTTGTCTCGTGGCTGTAGTACGCTATCCCTGACAGGTTTGGTAAGTTCATGGAGGACCAAGAGAGAAACAGACAGCATGGTAGAGGTGTGTGGAATTATTGTATTGTGTGGGGAAAGTGGCTTGAGAAAAGTTTTCCTACATCTCTCATAGCACTCTAACTAGGGCAGAGCTTTCCAAACTGTGTGTCGTGACACATTAGTGTGTCACCTGCAGTGTGTAGGTGTGTCATGTGAATTCTCCCCACTTCTTTGATGATCTCTCATAGATTGTCTTCCATAAACACGGTTTTAACAGTGAGTCTGTAAGTGACTGTGTGGAGGCCAATTCTGGATCCGCACGTCCTTCCACAGTGGGGACAAAGGTTTCCGGGTGGGAGTTGATCATGGTGAGGACTTGCCAAGCGTGCCTTCCTCTTAGCACGTTTCTTAGCACGTCCTGAGTTCGAGCGTCTTCAAAGCCCATGACACCTTTGGTAAGGCTGTTCTCCAAATGGAGCACTCACAGGCCAGTGTTTCCCAGTTGTTGGTGTTTATATTACATTTTTTTTAGATTTGCCTTGAGAGAGTCTTTAAGCCTCTTTTGTTGACCACCAGCATTACGCTTTCCATTTTTAAGTCTGGAATACTGTAGTTGCTTTGGAAGTTGATAATCAGGCATCCGCACAACATGACCAATCCAAGGAAGTTGATGTTGAAGTATCATTGCTTCGACACTGGTGATCTCTGCTTTTTCCAGTACACTGGCATTAGTTTGTCTTTCTTCCCAAGTGATGTGTAATCTTTTTTGGATTTGATGGAATCTTTCGAGGAGTTGGAGATGGCGTTTATAAGTGGTCCATGTTTCACAAGCATACAGTAAGGTTGGTAGTACATTGTAGGTGTGTCATGTGAATGCTCCCCACACTCCTCCTGGGGCTGGAAAGGGGTTAGCTTCACCTCTGGTTTGCTAGTAAAACTGAATGACTGTGTTGCAAAATGATGCAGGTCTCAAAAGTGTGTCACCAACATGAAATGTTTGGAAAGCTCTGAACTAGGGGGACATCTCATGAAGCTGAATGTGGGGAGATTCAGGACAGACCAAAGGAAGTACCAAAGATGGCAGAGGTACTGCTCCACCTCCACTCTCCAAGGCAGTATGTCTCTGAAGATTAGTTGCTGGAAACCACAGGCGGGGAGAGAGCGCTTGTGCTCAGGTCATCTTTTGGGGCTTCCCAGTGGCATCAGGTTAGCCATTGTGAGATGAGGATTGTGTACTAGATGGGCCTTTGGTCTTGTTTGTGAGTGAGTTATAGAGCTAAATAACATTGTGGCTCTAGTTCAATGACAGACATTCTGGGACCCTTCAGTTGTTTTAAGGACCGCAACTCTCATCATCTCTGACCATTGACTGTGGTGATTTGGGCTGATAGGTTGGGGTTTAGCAACATCTGGAGCAGTGGTTCTCAACCTGTGGGTCCCCAGATGTTGTTGGACTACAACTCCCATCATTCCTAGCCAGCATGACCAGTGGTCAGGGATGATGGGAGTTGTAGTCCAACAACATCTGGGGACTCACAGGTTGAGAACCACTGATGGAGGGTCACAGGTCCTTCCCTCCATCCTTGCTATAGTACAGCCAATTATATTTTTCTCACCCCAGGCATGGGGGCAACAGAGGTGTATTCAAAACCTCAGTCTACCAAGCCTCTTGGCAACATAGAGAACTGCCCAATGAGCAACTAGACCTGCAAGCTTTCTTGTCTCATAGACAAAACAGTTTGGCTTCTGGATGAGGTCATCCACCTTTTGCAAATCCCTCATTGAACTGACACCAGAGCCAGACTGCCAGCTGCAGAAATAATGACACTTCTTTGCTTTAAACAAATGGAATCAAGAAATGAAGAGAGGATTCTACCAAGGCTGAAAGTAACCTATGGAATTTTACATGGGTTTGAGGAGAAAGACACGGCGGCTGGAATTTTGCAACAGCAATGACAGTGCATGATCCAACAGAATGGCTTCATAGAGGTTATTTGTTGTTGAGATGTCTACACTTACCATTACAAGTTCCTGCCATACCATGGGAGGAAACTCACCAGGAGCACCCAGGACATTGGCCAGAAAAGCATCTTGTCATGGGGACCTGGAAGAAGAGCATCACTGGTGGCAATGTCACCGTGTCCCACTTAGTCGAGAAAAGAGACTGTAAGAACTTCTGCAAACAGATAAGCAATGGCCCAATAGTGACCAAGCACAAAACACCAAACGCTCCAATGTAACTGGCTCAATGAACTGATCAGGTTTACTGTCCTGGTCCAGCCCAGAAGGAGACTAAATCGGAAACCATTGGGGCTGCATTTGGTGGGGGACACTTAGCTTGAACCACTGCAGATATGTCCAATTTCTTTGCAACAGTAGCCCACTCTCTGGGTTGTATAGTGCAGATGAGACCCAAGACATACTCAGAGTGGACCCACTGAAATTGACAAGCCTAAATTAATCATGCCTATTAATTTAAATGGGTCTACTGTGAGTAGAGCTAACATTGGCTGAAACACATAATCAGAACAAAGTCAAAATAAGCACTTGGTTCCAAGGCCTGCGCTGAGTTCTGGCTGAATCCCATATATCCTTTCATAAGCACAATAAGATCACCTCAGTTGGCTGTCACTGTTGAAGGAAGTGCACCCAGGACATGATCAGAGGTACTGGGAATGCTGAATGCATGTGTATGTAAAGCATACACATATCAATTGAACAGGTTCTCTTCAAGGAAGCAAGAAACACCCATCTGGGAAGAGAAGGGGCCAATGTAACTGGGTTGTTAACAGAGACATGCAAATACTGCACACCCATGACTCACAGCTGACAGGGCAGGAATATTTCATATTCAAGTTTTGCAGGAGAGTCCATGGGATGCCAAGAATTAGAATCATAGAACTGTAAAGTTGGAAGGAACTATGAAGGCCATCTAGTTCAACCCCCTGCAATGCAGGAACCTTTTGCCCATCGTAGGTCTTGAACCCATGACATTGAGATTAAAAGTCTCATGCTCTACCAAGTGAGCTATCATGTTTAGTGTGCCTGTGGTCTGACCCAGAAGAGCATTTCCTAAATTTTCAATGTACTTGAGGACTTTTCTTTTTTTTAAGTGAGAACCGGCCCCCCAAAATTTCTCACTTCAAATCTCATGACTGGATCACTCTGCTAAGTTATCACAAGCACCCATATTTTTAAAAATGACACAAAATGGGGGTGTAGAAGGAAATGCCTTGTCCTGTGGCTAGCTTCCTAATGAATGCAGTGGTGATCAATCAATCAATGCTTCCCGAACGCTTGGCTCTTGGCTTGCTGCATCTGTGAACGCAAATTGAATGGACAATAACGAACCCTCCCTAATTAGTCTCCACAGCTGCAAGTGTATAGGACATACCTTGTTAAATTTCATGGTATGTATAATAGAGTGTTGTAGTTAAAATGATTAAGATTGGCCGTGTGTATTGCTTAGTAAAACAAAATTAGCCAGACTCGGCAGCAATAAATGCGCTGCTTTCGGCAGATGGCCTTGGGATTAACTAATACCGAGATCCCTTTAGCGCTAAGACAGTTAAAGCACAAATTGCAACAGAGAGAGCATGATGGGCTGGCATGTTCTGCATTAACATTTTGGCCCAGGATCAGCGGTTGGTTGGAGCACTGTCATTTTGATATCTAAAGGTGAGCCAGAGTTCAAGCAGATTCGGGGATGGAGCTGTTTAAATAGTCATGTCCCCATGTTAGCTTTATAGTCTTAAATTATATCATCTGCTGTTTCGGAGCCATAGCAAAGAGTTGGGATGGCTCTTGGAAGTCAACTCCCGACCCCCAAGCAAGACCTGCCATGTAGGATGCAGCTGCAGCATCTCTGATCGGTTGGCTCTCCAACCGTTGACTTCAATATCTCTGGTAGGGATGAGCAAATCTAGCCATTTCGCTTCTCCCCGTTTCTCATTTTCCCAGTCTTAAATCCAGTTCTCCATGCTCCCACAGAAATTTGCGATTTCTATCTTCCCCTCATAAAAATATTGTCAGTGTTTCAGAGTGATTCCCCCCCCCCCCATCTCCACACCTCTGAATGCAGTTTTGCAAGCAATGATCGGTGGAGCCAATTAATTCCAGGTTCCTCCCAGTGGCATAGCATGGGTTGCCAGGGCCCGAGGTGCAAAGTGGTGAAAGTTCCTAAATTATTGGTATAGGAACTCAAGAGTGGCTTATTAGAGCCATGCGGTTTGAGCTGAGACCTCCTCACACGTTGAACTTCTCATAAGCTGGGCTGTTGAGGAGTCTCTCACCCTGGAACTTTTCCTTAACATCAGGTAGACTGGAGGGGAACAATAGGCTTGATTACCTATTGATTACCTATTGATTACCCCAAGGCCTCAAGAGTATTGTTATAAACCACCCCAATCTTTGCCTAGTGGTGCACGAGATTCATGGAGGTCTAAGCCCTCCACCAGGGTCTGTATTCCTTTGGGAAGATGTGTCTTTATGATACATGGTTTATTTTACACACATATACAACCGTCAGGGGTCCCTTTACCTTTACCTTACACTTAAGATATTTACCTAGCTGAATTAACTCTTCACATGCTAATTGCTGATGCTCAGAAGTAGGTCCATGCACGTCTTCTAACACACATGAATATTGACCACATTTGCAAAGTCTGACACATAGTCTTTATGCACGAGTGCTAATTAAACACCTTGAACCCGTTCCAATTTAAAGAAGAGGCTAAGCTGATGTTAATGGCCAGGGAGTTCCAAAGTTCCCATCTCACCCCCAAAGATGTTGCCTTCTACCCATGATCTTATAGTCTTCCCCCCTGCCCCCCCCAGTTATCTGAAAATGGGTTCCTCACACCTCCTCCTTTCATTCTCTTTGCAATCTTGTCCACAGGCTGTCTGATGATGGTCAGGTGGGCCAATCTGTCAATTTCAGTCCCCCCCCCACTAATGTACACATCTGCACACACATTATTTTGTTGCAGAACTGCATTGCAACATCTGGAGAAGTGCAAATTTTGAAGGCTTAGCTGTATTGTGGTTCACTTATTGTTTTGGAAGGTGTGGATTAGGTCACATTGAACGTTTACATTCGGAAGCAGACTGGATCCTGTTTCTCTGCTGTTCCTGGCCTGCAACTCTGTTTTAAAACCCCCCTAAAAGTCTTCATCTTCTTAGGGAGGGGCAATCCTGATTCAGTCCTATTTCAAGAGGGAATTCAGCAATGCCTCAAGAAGCAAACAGCATTCAGATTACCACCCCTGCCATACTAGAAAAATAAAACCTGACTCCCACTCCCCCTTGCAGACGTTCTGTCCTGGTAATTTCAGATGTATTTCTGTTTCTTTGTTTTATCTGCATGAACAGCCTAAATGGGTTTATAATTTGCTCGTGCTTCCGTTTTTATGATATCTGCCTTCCATCTGTTATTTTTATGGTTTATGCAGCCGTTCTCCTCTCGCTTACGCCAGCGGCGCCAATGTAAAACTGATGCTGCCTCCATCAAACTTATCGCCCCCTCTCCAAAAATATATTCTGTGCACAGTGGCATAAGTGCAGCCTGGAGAGGGATTCATGGATCTTTCTTTAATAACACAAAATCCGCTTCTCCATTGCTCAATGCACGGCTACATAATTATTGCAAATTAGGTAGATGTTATCAGATGGAGATGGAAGTTCCAGGCAAGTTAGCCTCTACTCGACACACCATATGCTTGCTTCAGAATAAAAATTGCCATCTCTCGGCTTGTAATGGGATGCTGGATGGGCTGGTGATGGTGGGGGAGCTGGTCTTCCAGTAAAACTTTAAAAGGTGGATTTAAAATGTTCAGGGTTTGTTTGGCAAGTGCATATGAGCTGAAAAGGTTTACCTGAGTCACTCTTACTGTTATGTATTCAGTGGTCTGTGTTTGCCTGAGCTTGAGTCTGGACTAAGGATTCTGAGCCCCTGTGTTCTGATTCGATACATGATATCCAATCACAGGACCATTCAGGATTTGGGCCTCTGCCATTGGCCCTTAAGCTATGAGTTATGATTCGCAGCTTGGAAGTTTAGATAGGCAATCACGTTGGGAGTGGCAGTGGCCCAGGCCTTCAGAAATGTATATAAGCAGTTGCTTTGCCCCTGTTGTCCAGTTCTGTTAGTTCAATAAAGGTTCTTGCTGTTATCACTGTGTCTTGCCTCGTGGGAAGCCACCTACACTTCACTTACATTACATACTCTCTTCTTCTTCTTCTTCCTCTTCCTCTTCCTCTTCCTCTTCCTCCTCTTCTTCTTCTATTATTTGTACCCTGCCCATCTGACTGGGGACTCATCTACACTTACAATGTTATGATGTTATAAATGCACTATCACAATGTGATACCAGATGGTGCTATAGAGCTAAAATCCAAAGTCAATGAGAATTTCCATTGTGAGCTTTTATAACATTTCTTTTTATAGCGTTTCATAGTGGGTTTTTAAAAAAATAGCTGTATAGATCCAGCCCGGGTTGCCCCAGTCACTCTGGGTGGCTTCCAATGCATATAAAAACATAATAAAACATTACACATTTAAAGGCTTCCTTATACAGAGCTGCCTTCAGAGGTCTCCTAAAGGCTGTATAGTTACTTATCTCCTTGACATCTGATGGGAGGGCGTTCCACAAGGCGGGCGCCACTACCAAGAAGGCCCTCTGTCTGGTTCCCTGTAACCTTACTTCTCGCAATGAGGGAACCGCTAGAAGGCCCTTGGTGCTGGATCTCAATGCCCGGGCTGGACGATGGGGGTGGAGATGCTCCTTCAGGTATACAGGTCCGAGGCCATTTAGGACTTTAAAGGTCAGCACCAACACTTTGAATTGTGCTCGGAAACGTACTGGGAGCCAATGTAGGTCTTTCAGGACCGGTGTTTTATGGTCTTGGCCTTGAGTCTTGGGGTACCTCCAATGTACTATGGCAAATGTACTATGGTAAAGCTATGTAACAACTAAGAGGGCTTCCTCTGCCTATCCTAGCACCCAGGAGGGTCTGTAGGGAAGGAGGTGATTTTTCAGGCATGTGGGGCCTGAGTCGTTTGGGCCTTTAAATGCTAATGTGAGCACCTTGAATTGGGCTTTGAAAGGAACTTGCAACCAGTGCAGCTGTTTTGAAACTAGTTACATGAGATCTGAAGGGAACCCCAACCAGTAATGTGGCTGTTGCATTTGGGACCAACTCAAGTTTCTGAGTCGCCTTCAAGGGCAGCCCCATACAGAGCGCAATTACTATAAATCATTTGGTTGTTTTCTTTCACTTCAGCCCATGAATTTAAGCATAAACACAAACTGCTAAGCAGGAACCTTCTGAGGACTGGAACGGATTAAACGGCTGATATCTCTACGGGACCAATAAATATGTGCAGCATTAATTTTTTTAACACACACACACACACACACACACACACAGAGTAAAAGCACATGGTGCTAAAACATTAGTATTTAATTAACATCCTTTTGCTGCATTGCTACAAATTTGGCAGTAATGAAGAGCTGGATGAAATATGAGAAGGCAAAAATCCTGGACACTTTCTTGACATGCCCTCAAAAGTTCCAGGTCTTCCTGTTTAGAAAGGAGGGTTCCTGTTGCCTAAAGGTAAATCACTGCAATTTATTTCGCCCATTCGGGGGACACCTTCTTAAAATGGCATTTGCATGATCAGGGTTGACACCAGGGTTGAGTACCTTGGCTGGCCACCCTAGTAGACTCCTCTGTGCTAAAAACGATTTAGATGCATTGTGTGTGCGATATACTTTGGCCACCTCATGAGAAGAGGAGACTCTCTGGAAAAAGCTCTAATGTTGGGTACAAGGAGAAGGGGACGACAGAGAACAAGATGGTTGGACAGTGTTCTCGAAGCTACGAACATGAGTTTGACCAAACTGCGGGAGGCAGTGGAAGACAGGAGTGCCTGGCATGCTCTGGTCCATGGGGTCACGAAGAGTCGGACACGACTAAATGACTAAACAACAACAACAATTTTCGTCGGAGAAATGTTTAATCATACAATTGTAGAGTTGGAAGGGACCCTGAGGATCATTTAGTTCAACCCCCTGCAATGCAGGAATATGCAGCTGTCTCATGCGGGGATTGAACCTGCAACCTTGGTGTTATCAGCACCACACCAACCAACTGAGCTATCCAGGCGTGGGTTAAAATGTTAGAGGGTATGGAGTTATGTGACCACCCCGAGGGCAAGAGTCACACAGAAGACAGAAGCCATGAACAAGCATCAACAGGAAGGAAGGAGGGGGAGAAAGCATCTCTTCCCTGGCACTCTTCCTCTCAGAAATAAGTACTCAGGTTGATTTGGTTAAACACACATGCACTCACACACCAAGAACTCTTTGTATTGTGACATTTGGCCAAAGCCAAAGCGATCATTGTCCCCCTTACTTGCTTTTCAATGTGCTTTTCTCCTGGTGTACCTCAGCACAATACCTTCTTTCTTAATATCTAGGGTTGCAATGCTTAAGATATGCAAATAGGTCTCTCTCTTTCCCTCTCCCCCCAGTTAATGAGCCTACTCTGCAGCAATTGAATGCAATTCAAGTATTCAAAGTGACCTTATCACGACAAGGGAGACGATTCCCCATTTCGCTTTGAAAGGCAAACCGTGAAAAGTCATTTGTGTTTTGCTGAATCTGGATTATTATTATTATTATTATTTTTCCTTATTATTATGTGTGTCTATAGACGGGCGAAGTCCGGGGATTATGGGGATTATGCTTTATCGGAAACCCGTAGATTCCTGAAATTTTTCAAAAGCGTTTTATATTTCAATAGAAAGGGGAGGAGGGAAGAGAGAGCATTCATTCTACTCTCCCGTGCATGTGATTAAATAACACAGTTCACACAATGCCCCGCTTCCCCCCCTCCTCATTCTTAGCATTGTCTCATTAGACTGGCTTTTTAAATTTTATTTTACTGCTTTTCCTATCCATCATGATTTGTGTCAGCTGAGCGGTTATGTAGATGGACAGCTTATTATCAGCTTTAAGCAAAGGAACAGAATGCAGGCCTGGCCACAGAGCTGTGTGTGTAGGAAAGGCAATTAAAGTCAGCTCCAGAATATAAATGAGCCTTGGCCTTTTGATGGTGTACGTACAAATTAACCCCTGTTGTCGCAATATTCCTTGCCACGGAAGGACAGAGAGAGAGAGAAAGAGACCCAAGCCTTAATTGTCTCCTGAATTAAGGACGGCCAGTTTCTATTGCTGTTTGGAACTACAGTATCCATTTCAGCTTCTCATTTTTGCCATCTTAAATTCCACTCTACATTTCCACACCAGTCTGCAATTTTCTTCATCGGAAATTCGTCTTGAAAAAAATTCAACAATTTAGTGAGGTTCCTATAGACATTTTCTAGTGCATTTTTGCTTAATAAACATGTATTTCACAAGCAATTTCTCTTAATAGATATTCATTTTGTTGTATGTTCACTAACAGATGTTCACTGCTTTTAGGTTTTTTCCAGGGTAATTGATTTGGAAAGATTTAACTGTTTTAAAATGGTTTTTTGTTTGCTTCAAGCTGTGAATCGGTTTGCCGCCCTGGGTTCCTTTGAGAGAAAGGGCAGGATATAAACTCCAATTAATAATAATAATTGGGCAATAGTATGGTGGACGTTCACCATAGCTCAGTCGGTAGAGGATGAGGCTCTTAATCTCAGAGTTGTGGGTTCAAGCCCCATTTTGGGCAAAGGGTTCTTATATTGCAGGGGGTTGGACTAGATGACCCTCGTGGTCCCATCCAACTATACAATTTTATCTCTAGCTATGCCAGTAATTAAACAACAGCATATAGCCATATCTGTATCTCTATCTCTATCTCTATCTCTATCTCTATCTCTATCTCTATCTGTATCTGTATCTGAATCTGAATCTGAATCTGAATCTTTAATTATCTTTTGGGGAAAGAATATAGCTCTGTGGTAGAGGATTGCCCTTGCATTTAGAAGCATTTCCCTTGCACTGAGACCCCCAGTTTCAACTGATTGGCTGCTGCCAATCAGTTTCGACAACATGCGTCTTGATGGACCAGCGTTCTGACTCAGTATAAGGCAACTTCCTGTGTTCCTAGAACTAGGGAGCAGGGAAGGTGAACAGTCTCTTAATTTAATGGGGAAAGCTTTGGGGAAAGGGACATAGCTTGGTGGCTGAACATCTGCTTTGCATGCAGAAGGTCCCAGCTTCAACCTTTGGCACCTCCAGGCATGGCTGAGAGAGACCCCCCCAGTTTGAAACCCTGGAGAGCTGCTGCCTGTCAATGTAAACCAGCCTTTCCCAACCTTGGTTTTGCAGATGTTGCTGGACTACAACTCCCATCATTGCTAGCCAGGGTGGCCAGTAGCCAGGGTTGATGGGAGTTGTAGTTCAAGAACGTCTGGGGTTCCAAGGCTGAGAAAGGATTATGTAGACAGTACTGAGCTAGTTGGACCAATAATCTGATTCAGCAGAAGGCAGTTTCCTATACAGTGGTACCTTGGGTTACATACACTTCAGGTTACATACACTTCAGGTTACAGACTCCGCTAACCCAGAAATAGTGCTTCAGGTTAAGAACTTTGCTTCAGGATGAGAACAGAGATCTTGCTCCGGTGGCGCGGCTGCAGTGGGAGGCCACATTAGCTAAAGTGGTGCTTCAGGTTAAGAACAGTTTCAGGTTAAGTACGGACCTCCGGAATGAATTAAGTACTTAACCTGAGGTACCACTCTCCTATCTCCCTTCTCTTTCAACAAGCTTCATTACACGGCAAACCGACCAAGGACATCAGCGTTCCAACTTCAGCGGACACAATTTAAGAAATTGACTGAAGGTACAGACATCTGGAAAAAGCAAAGCACCTGGCCAGACCTCAGATAATTTGGCAGTACTTTAGTATGAACCCCCCTGCGCCCGCCCAGCCTCCAAACACCTGGAAGTTCTCTATTCATGAAGCAGAAACGTTTTCCTGAGTTGGTCCTTACTGAATTTCTTTATTAGTTGCCGGTGACCAGCAGGAAAAGAAGCGTATAAGCTCTCCTACGACGTAATTTCCAGCTGAACCCATTTCAACAGCCAAGTTGCTCTCGACTGGATTCAGGGGAGCCATTTAGTTATGTTGGCTGCATTCATCTGACTTGAATGGCAGAAACCCAGATTTTGTTTTGTAAACAAAAACACACACTCTTGGAGAAGGATCAGCAGAAAGGAAGGCATAAGGCTGGCCTGTCCCTGGAAGGGTGAGAAGGAAATGCCGAAGGGGACAAGCAAAGATCTCTCCACCTCACAAGCCTGCAGGACATCCCCTTCAGTCAATCCCATGGCATCACTCAACAAGGTTGAGCAGTACACTTCATCTCCCCTCCCGTGGACAAATGAGTGAACCTTGGCTATTTCAACTGGCTAATAGTCTTTGTAAGGTGACATGGCTAGACCTCTTCAGCACCAAATTAGGGGACAGCTCTGGTTTTCCTGGGACCTAGCTTCCTCCCATATGGCGGACACTGGTTCCTGACCAGGTGATTGGTTGCCAGCCACTCTCATCATAGGGATTGCATTGTTGCACACCACCCTAATCTCCAAGCAGTGAGAGACTCCAGGCTTTGTGCGCTTACCCAGGGCTTGGTTTCCTTGTAAGGAAAGTCTGTGGAAACTGTGGTGCCCTTAAGACATATGGTTTTATTTGCACAGATATGCAGCTTGAGCATAAGGGGATACAACATCAACACACCAACAGATGTTGGTTCTCTGTTAGTTACAACTTGGTTCCAGCACAGAGCAATCCATCCATCTATCTACCCTGCATCTCATTTTTATAGTCAGTTTTGGCCAGGGCTGATTTGTTGCATCTGGGAGAAAGACAGAGCCCAGGTGAACAAATATCTCGACTTTTTTGTTTTGTTTAATTTACAGGCACAATCAGTAGCAATAACCTAGCTCAGACCTAGGAGTCTGTCAAGCTGAAACACAATGCTGAAAAGCAAACCTTGATGATCTCTGGTGATTTCTTCACACCAAGAGATCTAGCTTGAAATCATTTCCTATTGTTTAGGTTAGAAGCTGCCAGGAATCAATTAAGTGAAACCAAGAAAGGCTTTTCAACCTTCCAGAATGGTTTTGGTTTTTTTTAAGAACGAAGACTTACATCAGCCAGCTGAAACAATGTAGACATTCACTAATTCTTTCCCAAATGGAAGGAACAATGGGCCTGTTCACAGGATGCATTAATTAAAGCTCTGCCTGCATCTTAATGATCCTTGGGAGCATGATAAACAAGGAGAACAGGGCCCATAACAATCTCTCTTGCCTCGACATATGCAGGGCTTGTAGGATTCCGTAAATGAAGAACAACTAAACTGAAATCAGTGTACACTGTTCAATTTGAGAAGCCTCTGAGAAATTGGCTTTCACGGGATCATCAACCTTTTTAGTCCCATGGACACATGGATTTTTGAGTGATCTCCTTTGCTCACTTCTTCACTGGATCACACACACATGCCCCCCTCCCCACAAGACTGAGAAAGTGTGCGCACATCAAACCATTTGAATCCTGTGGAGTTAATCTGAGCTTCGATAAGAACACAGAGTTAGAAGAGGAAGTAGGTAAGAGCATCCATATCCTTTTTGAGGCAACCAGTACTCCAAACACAGTTGCAAAATAGATTTGTGCAACAGTATTACGATCTGGGCAGTTTTATTTTAAATTCCTTTCCTAAGGATCCCTTAAAGAAATAGGAGTGCCTGATCACCACATCTGTCTCCTGAGAAATCTCCATGTGGGACAAGAAGCTACAATTAGAATTGGCTATGGAACAACTGATTGGTTCAAAATTGGGAAAGGAGTACAACAAGGCTGTATATTGTCTCCCTGCTTGTACGCAAAATTCATCATGCGAAAGGCTGGACTGGATGAATCCCAAACCAGAATTAAGATTGCCGGAAGAAATATCAACAACTTCAGATATGCAGATGACACAACTTTGATGGCAGAAAGTGAGGAGGAATTAAAGAACCTTTTAATGAGGGTGAAAGAGGAAAGCGCAAAATATGGTCTGAAGCTCAACATCAAAAAAACTAAGATCATGGCCACGGGTCCCATCAAGTCCTGGCAAATAGAAGGGGAAGAATTGGGGGCGGTGAGAGATTTTACTTTCTTGGGCTCCATGATCACTGCAGATGGTGACAGCAGTCATGAAATTAAAAGACGCCTGCTTCTTGGGAGAAAAGTAATGACAAACCTAGACAGTTGTAAAAGGTCCCCATTCTTTTCCAAAGTCACTACTGTCCTTTTCATGCAGTTGATCCGTTAACTTTGCTAACTCTGCGTAGTTCATCAGCTGTGCTTGCCATTGTTCTTTGGATGGTATTTCTCCAGTCGTCCAATTCTGTGCTATTAAAATTCTTGCTGCTGTTGTAGCATACATAAATAATGTCTGATTTTCTTTTGGCAATTCTTGTCTTAAAATACCCAACAGAAAGGCTTCTGGTTTTTTAACAAAGGTTATTTTAAACATTTTTTCCAGTTCACTGTACATCCCGCATGGGTGTCTTTGATCAAGGCAGAAACATACACAGTCTGTTGCATGCAGCATTTTGGATCTGTATGGGGGTAGTGAGCCAGAGTCATTGCAACTGGCTTGGCTGACCTGCACCTGTTGGCTTACATGTGATGATTTGTGACCACAAATAAATTGACCCTTTCTTCCATGACCAGCTCCTCCAATACAATGTGGTAGTTTTGTGGTGCTTACACCTTCTCTTTGGGGACTAGAGTTTGATTCCAGGAAAGGAGGAATTTCATCTAGGACTATTTCTTTTAGTTGGAAACTGTTTTTGGTTTTGTGTATGGTTGATGTTCCAATTGGTGGGACTTCAGATGTTGTTCAGCTCCAGGTCCCATCTGCCCTGATCTAGCATGACCAATGGTCAGGGGTGATGGGCAACATCTGTAGGCCAGAGGACCCCTTTCCTTGGCATTTAGGAAGGAAGAGAGAATGGTTGCCCCTGTTTGCATGCTTCTTTTTCTTCTGCTTTTGCTGCTAGTTTGATGTCAAGCTAGATATGTTTCTGATTGTTAGGCCTCTTCCTATGAACCGCTGAATGGATTTCTTAATGTGGATATAATGTTGATGTTATTGGCACTGGCTATAGCTAACTGACCGCACTGATATCTTTGATGCTCATTTAAACTTTTTGATATGGCTTTGCCGAACTGTTACTTGTTAAACAGTCAATATTCTACTGTAATGGGATTATAATTTCCATTGTATATTACAGATATCATGCCATGATTGTATTTACTGTCCATTTTCTGAAAAGTGCTTTGAGCGCAATGCATCGTTGTGGGATGAGGGATATGCACTGCTATGGGTTTTTTTAGTCTCTTGCACAAATCCCAAGTTTCTTGTTCAAAACAGGTAGCAGAAGGGTGTGGAACAGTTCAATACCAGCACTGTTCTTGAACCTGCTATGTCAACCCTTACCTTGCCCCTCTTTGTGGGTCAGCTGAGGCGCTGGGCATGTTACAGGCATCCTAGCACTGTCATCATTTTTAACTTACTCCCCTTGCACATTAGCTGGTTAAGCTCAGAAGCAAACAGATTGCAAACGTGAGCTTTGTAGGGCTAAACCTTGCATTACAGGGTACAATATACAATTTATCCCACGATCAGGAGTTAACGTATGAGCAGCAGATAACATAAAAAAAAAAGGGAAGG